AAAAGCCGTTGTCACTGTCGACCGTTGATATGAGATTCTTTGTTAGTTGAATGATGGTGAGAATACTGTCCGTAACTTGCTAATAAATCTTCAGAAGATCGCATGAGTGTGCCACATTAGTTCCTTAACTGGTTATAAACACTCACGTATGAAAATCAAAAAAAAATTCTAGATTTAAGTGGGGCTTATCAAACTTTACATTTAGCAAACATGAAACGCAACGCTGTTTTAGACACCTTGACGTTATAATCTGTGCGCCGTAGGGCGAAACAGTACATAACATAAAATATCACAATTTGTTTATTTATGCACATATCTATTTAAAATTTGCTATGTATATTCATATTATATGTACTAAAGAGTAGTGAAAATTTCAGAATGCAGTGATGATTATTTTTCAAACTAGATAACTTGTCCAAGATTTTACGGGACAACCCTCGTAGTTGCTCAATATTGATATTACAAGGAATAAAGGTTATAAATCAGATCTTGCGCTTTTCATCAAAATTAACCTGTTTTGAATAGTTCGACTTGCTCAATACTAAAACAAAAACATGTTTTAAAAGTGAATATAAAAGAAATACAACATAATAAAGTATATTAATCATACTGTGTTGCAGCCAAATTTAAATTTAAAAATTCAAGATTTAGTCGGGAATATTGCTTTAAGATAAAATGAACAAAATATCTCAAAAGGTACTTTCTGTGATTTTAATCATATTCTTTTCAGAAAACATTGCATTACTGAAACCTACATGGCAAAGTACTACACATAATCCCTCATATAGTGGATCAGCCAGAGCTGTTGATGGACAGAGAGCAGATCTCTCTTATCATGGGAGGCAATGCAGTGTATCAAGTAACACACAAACAACCGCCACGTGGTGGGTGAATCTGGAGAGAAAACGTGGAATAAATTTTATAGTCATTTATTATAGAACGGAAAATGGAAACTGGAGTATGTAGAGCAATTTTATATACTTCTTTGTTAAGTTAACTCACACATTGCTTTCATGGAAAACATTACTGTGCAGTAAGGGATGAATATCTTTATTATCCAAATTCATGGATGGTTAGATAATATATTTTTTTATATACCCAAAACATTGAACTAGAGTTCAGATTTCTTACAACTTTTCCTCAGTTTTCATAATCTTCAGTCGAGTTTAGCCAAGACACAGAGGTTCCCCAAACCTATAATTTTTGGCATTTATATATTGTTCATTTGGCACACGTGTTACAACGCACTTTGAAAATTTCTTTTCAAAGTGCGTTAATATCGACTATATAATTGCATTTTGAAACAATGTGTGGGGATTGGTCAAAATTCTTGCAAATCTCAGGTAAGATAAATAATTCGACCTGTTTGATAACTCTTCGGTGATGAGGTCACTTTAGGATGTGAAAGTGAGCGATTTTGATTTGTCCATACTTTGAAAATTCTCTCCTGTACTTTTTGTTTTCCAATTTGCATGCATTTATTTTTGCAAACTGAAATTTTTTGAAAGTTTTCAACGTCATACAAGTTTTGTAAATACATATATTTGGGTGTAGCATAAGCATCAGTGCCGGGAAGGGGAGTGAAGGGGGGAGGGAGTTAGGCACACAAATGTTTTGCAAAGATATACATAATATATGCATAAAAAATTAGTGCTTACCTTGGCGGGAGGGGGGGGGTCAACTTTCAATTTGCTACCAACGACTATGTACCATGTACAAGAAAAGAGCCGGGATGAGAGACCTTCTTATCGTCTTTTCCTTGTTTTCAATGAGGTTAAATGAGTACATGTAACTCAAAAAAGTTTTTCAATAGTTCTAATTATTACAAATTGATTCTCTCAATTTCCAAAAAAAGTCTAGAATTTTTTGTTTTTATACATATTTTTTTTAAAGTGCATTTAATGTCCCGATGGTAAAAGATGTTTATGTACACTCTTAACCACAAGATGAAACACACCCTTTAAGTCCGGCTTAATGGTGGCTTATAGGTCCTTAATGGTGGTTTAATGGTTGTCTTTAAGTCACCATTAATTCACCATTAAGCACCTTTAAGTAACATTTACACCACCATTAAGTTACCATTAAGCCAACTCAAAGTCTTTAATGGATGCTTAAATGTAGCTTAATGGTAGCTTAATGGTGGCTTACAGGTCCTTAATGGTAACTTTTAGACCACCATTAAGTCACCATTAAGCTACCATTAAGCTAGACTTACAGGTGCTTAATGTCCAAACTCAATTAAGCTACCATTAAGCCACCATTAAGCCACCATTAAGTCACATTACGCAGTCGATAATATTGTTTATATGGGTGAAAAATTATTTTTATAGTGATTTGTTATCAATATCATAAATGTAGAGTTCGCTTATATCTTGATTTGGTAAAAATTATGAAAAAGAACGAAACTCAAAATCCAAAAAAAGAAAACGCCACAGTTGGGGCGCGATCCTATGACCTTAGGGTTGCATCCAATAGGCTATCGCCGCTCTTGATAATAAAATGAAAATATTAAATATTTAACCTTTATTTTTTTCAAAATTTGTTTGGACTTGTAAAGGTACTAGTATTTTGTTGAACATTTCCAAAAGTCTTGAATTGATTTATTAATCAAAATATAAACAATTTTATTTGTGGATCTTAACACATTAATATATATTTCTACACTGAGTTCGGCTTTTAGATTGATGTAATGTGATTGAGTTCTTCGCTCTGTTATTCGAAAATTTTCGAAATGTAAGCATTAAATCATGATTGAAAATGAATTAATTATAGATAAAACACAAAAGTCTATCATCGAAAAAGAAAGAGGAAAAAAACAGATTCTACTATTATTTTTAATATACTGCGGATATTAACGATTTCTGTGTCAACAATTTAGTGACAATCCTCGCGTAAGAGTTACCTGGTTAATTACGTTTACAAAAACTCTTTTTAGAATATCATATTCAGTTTCAATTCTTTTTGTATCATAATGGGTATCAAAATAATTGACTTTTTACGATGAATCATAATTTTTAATTTGTTATATGCTTGTGTTAAATTTAATTTTTTAAAAAAAAATAATTGATCATTAAAATCTGTCAGTGTACGTTGTGTATGTATAGTTTCCTGTTAGTTAACCGGGGACGGGGGACACCTAATTAAGGTCTATTGTCTGATCAGTCGGTTTACTGTATACATCTGGTCGGATGTCATGTTTTAGTCTGATCGGCCGTTCCTCTGAAAATCGATTTTGAAATAACAATCATTGAAGACCGACTACATTTTGACAGATACATGTACTTACCGCTGCATTATTAAAAAAAAAAATAACGAATTAATTAGAATTATTCATGATGTAAAAGCCATTAAAAAGTTTTTCATGGTAAAAGTCAATCTTTGAAAACTAAACATTTGTATACCAGTAGCCCCATCCCCCCCCCCCAAATGATTTTAAGAAAAAATTAGACACCTCGAGCAAGCCCCTGTGCCTATTAGCTAACTTTGTTCCCAGTGATCAAGTTTATGCATGTTGACAAAAAACTCGTGGAAATTATGATCGAGACAGAATTATGAGTTGGAATACATTTTGCGTAAATGATATTAAAATAACTAAAAGTTAGTTCAAAGATTCTATATAAGATGCGTAAAAGTTTAATGAGGGTTGACCATTAAGTCACCATTAAGCTCAGCTTAATGGTGGCTTAATGGTAGCTTAATGAAGTTTGGACATTAAGCACCTGTAAGTTGCAGCTTAATGGTGGCTTAATGGTGGCTTAAAGGAATTAACTTCTTTAAGCCACCATTAAGTCACCATTAAGCTACCATTAAGCGATTGCTTAAAGGTGGTCTTTCGTCTTGTGAACGCACTTTGAAAATATTGTCAAAGTGCGTTGATATTGTCCAAATTTAAACGCACTTCGACTTTGTTTTTCAAAGTGCGTATTTTTTTTTTCAAAGTACGTTGCCACACACACGGCCTACCATTTTCTGCAAAATGTGGTTATTTAGTCACTGTTATTTCTTTGGGGATAAGAAAGATTGATATATTCAGCAGGGATCCATATCATCAAAGCAATAAAAATCAAGATTTCATGAACTTGGATAAGAAAACTAGAATGAACAAGTTTCCCCTATCAACTGTTCACATCCGCTTTTAGCCCTATACAGTTACTAAGTACAAGGAGTATTTAGTTAAAAAAGGAAAATAAAGGTCAAAAAAATGTATGAACCAGGAAAACCGCAAACCCAAACTGTGAAAGTTATTATTTGCTATCAAGATCGGTAAAAGGACAAAATAATTAACGAAATGATGCCGTTAACAAGCTAGTTCCAATCCCCAGACATCAACTTCTATATGAGTAGCCTCGATCAATTTAAAAAATGGTCGTACATAGAGGAAGCTAGTGATACTGCTATAAATTGAGAGAAATGCACGATATACATACAGGTGTCAGCTGAGTATTTGGTTTCAAAGGTATATAAAAACAAATCGGCTAGTTAAAGAGCACGTTTAGTGTGATCAACTCATTGTTTCATTCATCAATTTATTTATGTTCTCCAGTGTAATTTAACTAATTTTACAAGTTCACTGAAGCTATTTTTTGCACACACTTCTAAATTTATGTAGACCATCTCACATCCATATTAAAGAAACGCAAACAAAAAGTTTGATGGATGAATTTGTCATTTATTATACATGTATAAATGACGACAGATAATGAAAAGATACATCAGATAAAGGGGAGATCACTCTTGAAAAATTGTGTAAATTTGTACACAACATTAGTTGATCTCCCCAGTGTAACATATTACATGAAGAAAATCCAAAAAAACAATCCAGAATGTAAAAAATAACAATCAGCAAAAAAGGTGGCAGACAAAAAATGCCTTGGCAGATAAACAACTGCCAAAATAAAATCACATTAAAACATATAAAAATGTATGTATTTTTAAACATTTTTATCCATTCACTCTTTACATTGCATATTAATTTAGCAGTATGGAATAAGGGTGGAATAATGATTGGGGTGGATGGTGGGCAACACTTGGAAAACCCTTCTTACTGCGATCGAATCAAAACAAGAAGTGACGTAGCATCTACATTTAGTGTCTCTTCTGATTGGTCGGTAAAATTACCTCCTATCGATCGCTCTAATATTGACACAAAATTGAAACACGGATAAAAACGGATTGATTAACCACAATTTATTTATTTTATGTAGACTTTTCCTGTCTAAAATTTGCTTCTCCTACCCAAAAACGCTTGGGTTTTACAGCACTGTCTTACAAACGAGTATGCGTGGTGTCTTAAGATATTACAACCACGATTCAAAAGACATTTTACAGTCACCTTTAACATTAAATATTCAGTAGTATTTCTTTGTTCCCCGTCTCATAGATTCAAGTATTATTAAGGAGAAAGTTCTTCTCATTTTTTTAAATCGACAGGGTCTCTTTACCTCACATAAAAAAGGATTTATATAAACAGGAATTTCAATTTCAGGTTCAACAAATGGCTTTACGACACGATTCCTTGGATTTCAAGTATATATTTCAAATACTACAGACAGACTTAAAGGTCACTTATGTTTTCATGACACAAACTACACCATAAGCACAATACCTGCTGTCGTCAATATAACTTGTCCTGTACATGGACAATATGTCATCTACCACAACGAGAGAAGACCCGGTGTTACTTATCCTGATGATTATTCGAAGTATGCCTACATTGAGCTGTGTGAGGTAGAAGTTTATGGTAAGATTTGTAATGTTAAACTAATAGGGGTGTATTAGTCTGGTCGAATTTTGTTTTTATGCATTTACCGGTATATGCATTCCGTTGACGTTGTCCTTCATTTTTCGTTTCTTTAAGTAATGTTGATGTAAAAATTCCTTCTTAGTTTTTCTTATCGCTAAAGTCAAATGTTGGGAACTTAAAACTAGCTAAAAAAAGGAAAAATTTCCTTTATTATTTAGCTATGAACGTAAAAATTTACATTTTTTTACTAACCATTTTTAATATCAAAGGATAGGATTTTTTTTCTTTTTTTTTTAAATAAATCGTAAGTTAAAAGTTTAATGTTTGTAGGATGTCCAGACCCCACACACTATGGATCCGATTGTTCATATAAATGTTCAACAAACTGCCTTCAATATTGCGATATAGTGTCTGGAAAGTGTCCAAGTTGTGCTCCTGGTTACAAGGGTAAATGGTGCGAGCAAGGTAGGTTCTTTGAAAAATGAATGTCAATCTTTCAAAAATATGTTTTAAATAAGTTGCCGTGAAATAACAAAAAGCAAATGATATAAAACAAGAACAAAAAAAAAATCGTTAAAATTTTACTGGATCCAAGAGAAGTTTCACCCAATTTATAACGCGATTTTTTTACATGAGAGAATCATAAATCTCCTTTATTTTTTTTTTCAATTAAAAAGTATCAATATCTTTTAAAAATAAATTGCCAAGCTCTTTTGAAATTTCAAGTTTGTGATGATGGATTGTTTGGGGATGGCTGTAGCCTAGTTTGTGGGCATTGCAAACAATTGGCTGAATGTCACCCAGTAGATGGAACGTGTTTGAATGGATGTTCCCTGGGATATCAAGGACCCTACTGCAATAAAAGTATAAATGAAAATACATAATCGATATTCAATATTTAAATGTTTCCAAGTATTTAAATGTTAATTAAGTAATTTCACAAAACTCTAGCAAACATTTGAAAACCCTTTATTCAACTCCATTAAGCCTGTTTAGATGGTTACTTCGGGGAAAATTGCAAAAATTCATGCAATACAACATGCAAAGGATGTAACAGAACAAATGGTATTTGTGAAAATGGGTGCTATACTGGATGGACCGGAGATTTTTGTCATGAAGGTGATTGCCTCTTTACTCTCTTTATAATGCTTCATTGTTATTTCTTTCTCTGATATCCTATGTTTTCAATATCAAGTAAAAGCTATAAGAAATGCTATTCATTCATAAGTTATCACCAAACGATTTAATGATTTAACTTGATGCAAATTAGACACATGTAGCCATCATTCTAAAAAAGGAAAACTTTGTTTGAGATGAAATAAACAATTTATAAAAACAAACGAAATCCACAATAATATCATTGTAAAATCTACTTCATTTCTCAGAATGTGACAGAGGATTTTATGGGGGTAATTGCAGCATGCCTTGTGGACATTGCATCAGTGTACAATAATGCGACCCAATGAATGGGACATGTTTAAATGGTTGCGCTGAAGGTTATATTGGAATTTATTGCAGTAATTGTAAGCAAAGCATATTTCAACTATTGTAAAATAACTGATTCTTTTATTTCTTTATTATTTTTTTCCGTTGATTTCGAGGTAGTGATAGAACCATGAACTCATGTCAACTATGACATACTATGTTTCACAATCACCAATTTCCAAGCACCTGCAAACGACTTAATCAATTCCTCATGAACAAAAATATTTTTCTTCAATCCTGTAAAATTCCTTCAAAAGAAAGTGTTTTATTTAACGTTTTTAACTTCTATTGTGTTTTATTATTATTATTATTTTTATTATTATTATTATTTTATTCTTGTTCAAATATTAAAATATTTATGTAATTTTTTAAAACAAAATGTTACTTCTCACAGCCTGCCTGGAAGGATCCTTTGGAAGAAATTGTTCTGAGACGTGTAGCAGTGCATGCTATGGTTCGACGTGTAACGGAACAAATGGTAAATGTGACAATGGATGTTATCCGGGTTGGAGGGGAGATTATTGCAACGAAGGTAAAGAGAATGATTATAAGGATACAGATATGTATAGCAATTGCTTATTATTTCTGTGCAGCAGAATGTCTCTTTACTTTGTCTTTATATTTCTAATTTTTGTTTGTAATAAATCCTTGAATTTTATGTTACCGGTAGTTGATTTCTTGATTACATGTACCCCATCTGAATGTTACTTTCGCCAAGAAAAAATATCAGGAGCTTTTTATGTATGTCTCATGCGGCTGTACTTGTCTTTGTATCTGAAGTCAAGGGGCTGGAATGTTTGAAAATTATATGGGAGGTCTCGTTCATCTAAATAAATTAGACCAGACTTCTATATTTACAGTAATATTTTATTTGACATACTTAAGTAAATATAATTAAGGACAGATGATACAAACAAACTTTTGTCGAAAAAAATTGAGAATAACAACTTGGGTCATGTTTAAATGAATAAAATGAATAACTTTCATTGCGTTGTTTTTGAATTTTTATTCACAATTTTACAAAAATGGAATTTGAAGTGAAAAAAATATTTGTATAGATTAATACAGATGGGTTTAGAAGGGCAGACTTTTGAACATCACAGAAGGTTAGAAAATTATTATTTGCATCATTTGCAACGAAATAAGGCCAAAAATATATACCAATCCAGGCATCCATTTTTCATTCGTATCATCTGTCCTTAAGGGAATTAATATTTTCAGAGTGCAATGAGGGGTTTTTCGGCGAGAATTGCAGTCAAGTTTGTGGTCATTGCAAAACATTAGAGGAGTGTCATCGAATAAACGGGACGTGTTTGAATGGATGTGCCAGGGGATATAAGGGAAGTTCTGCAGCAAAGGTATATCAAATATCCATAAATGCTAAATTTGCGTTCCAAATACTTTTTAAAAAGCATGTGAGAATGTTGTTTGAAATAATGATCTTGATATTTAAGCCTGCAGTGAAGGATATTTTGGAGAAAAATGTGTCCACAAGTGTAACGATACATGTAAAGGATGTAACAATGTTAATGGCGTCTGTGAGCATGGATGTCATACTGGATGGAAAGGAGACTTTTGTGATGAAGGTAATACATAAACTATTTATGGCAAATCCATTGTTTTCTGTGCCTTCCCCCTTATCTTATTTGTACCATTTGAAAATGTCCAAAAAAGGCACTTTTTGATAATGGATAATGAAATACTTTGAAGAAAACGAACTATGATCGATCCAAGAAAACAAGCAAATAATATTAATCGGTATACAGAGTATAAAACACGGATCCCTGGTTCCTCTATAGGGAGGGTCAGGTTTATAGGAGGATAAAGCATCTCCCCTAACAAAAAAAAAAAACTATAGTTAACTATAGTTTACTATAGTTAACTATAGTAAATCAAAGTGTCAAAGTTTTCGCGAAAGTTTTTCAAAGTGTCAAAGTTTTCGCCAAAGTTTTTCATAGTATCAAAGTTTTCGCCAAAGTTTTTCATAGTATCAAAGTTTTCGCCAAAGTTTATCAAAGTGTCAAAGTTTTCGATAAAGTTTTTCAAAGTGTCAAAGTTATCACGATAGTAAATCAAAGTTTTCAAAGTGTCAGTTATAACTATAATTAACTATAGTAGAAGGGATCTCAGTGAAGATATGTTGTTTATTGGTGGCATTTCTATTTAAATAATATATTTTTATTTCATAGAGTGCGATTACAATCAATATGGAACAGCCTGCAATAAGACATGTGGTAATTATATCAATAGCGAGACATGTCATCACATCAATGGTTTTTGCGTCAATGGTTGTGACTCTGGATATCAGGGAAATAAATGTGATCAAGGTACATGTAACTCTGACCAGCCTAGAAATATATTTGATAGATGCATTCTCTTCTTTATGATAACTTTAATTCCACCTTTTGTTAATTGTTACAAAAAAAAAAAAAAAAAAAAAAAAAAAATCAAAGTAAAGGAAAAATAAAATGATCACAAATATATGATTTTTTTGCAAAAATTGAATATCAAAATAATTGTAATTTTTAGTTTGTGAGTTTGGATTTTACGGGATAAATTGCAGAGATGTCTGCAGTACGTTTTGTAAAGTATCACGTGACTGTCATCACGTAACTGGTGTCTGTAAATTTGGCTGTAAAGCTGGAATGACTGGGCTTGATTGTCTACGAGGTTTGTCGTGTATATCAGGAATTGCCGTACATAATCTAAATCTAAGTATCATATATGCCCTTTTCCCCATTATCATTATTTTTTCAGTTGAAGACAACGACATGTACCAAGCTAGATTTTATGGCATTTTGGTACTATTTTGTGTAACAATGGTTTTCATTGGGCTGTTCCTATCTTACAAAATCAGGAACTGGTAAGAAAGTATACATAAAAGGATACTGCTTTTAAAATCGAGTTATATATTCTGAAATGCTTTTTTTTTCTATTATTTTTTTGAAGGATTAAAGAATCGCAAGAAAGAAATAACAAGACTCATCATCATCAGAAAGATGACGTGACCCTTCATAAAATAGACGATTTTGCAGTTGAAAATATTTACGACAATTAACAAGTTTAAAAACTGGTTTCAGCTTTCAACTGTGTTACTAATATTTTGTAAATAGAAATGAACTGCCTGGAAGTTTTATTTGTGAAATTTACATTTCGTTTTACCTTTTAAGCGGTCATTTATAATTTGCAATATGATATTTTACTTGTCTTATTTATATGTATCTTTTTCTTCAAATTAATGTTCCTTTATATACTTTTTGATTATGTTTCCTATTCAAACTGTTGTTTTATGTTTCCTCAGCACTATAAAATGTAACTTATGACAGTTTGTTATTAATGCCCATTAATTTTATATTAGTTTCTACATAATACTTATTTTCATTAGTTGAACTAAAATACTGTTGTTTTGGTTCAAGGAGAATTTTCGCTGTTTATTCCATTGAAACTGTTTCATTACTGAAAAAAACGTATTCTTTATATTGAAATTGTAAAACAACTCACCCTGGCCCTAATGCCTTTTTTTTTTTAAATGTCTTCTAAGGCTCATAAAATGTTTTATATGAAATACATTTAATATATGAAAATAACAAAGAGAATATGAAATCAAAAATCCATGAAACAATTTAAAGAATGAGCGGGATCATGTGCCACAGAGGAGTGAGCATCCCCTCCCGATCCATCACACCCGCCGTGTGCTCCTTGTCTTGATCGGGAATTAACAGAAAAATTCGTCGTGAATTAGTAGAGTATTAATAATGAAAAATAAAGGTATTAAAATCGTCAGTCAGCATTTGACTCAATGAAAGTTTGCATTTGCTGACAAGGTCGTTGTATCGACCATAAAACTAACGAAATTATGACATTGAACCAGACTGCAGATATTACTGCTTCATCAATTTATTTGTCACCAATTTACTTCGTTATAGAAACATATTCAGAGCATGCTCCTGGATATCGATATAGCTAAGATATATAAATTCCGTACATGTATGCAGGTGTTGAATGCATGAAACATACGGAGATGAAGAACATCATTCAAGATCATTGCTGCGTAAATAAGGGAAGTTCACGGCGGTACAATTGAAGTCATTACGTTTATCGAAGAGCTTGGTCGTTAGTAAACAATAAACTTTGTTTTTCAGGTAAAATATCCAAATGTGAATCAGATGTGTCAGATTCTGTTGTATTTTTTATCTCACGCTTGCCAAGATATATCGTATCGACATAAGAATGGAAATTAACATTGTTTAATGACAATACGTCGTCGATATACCTGATGTCGCGTTGAAGACAACATTAAGTGTTTTTTTTCCGCTTAAGATTTTGGACAATTTCTGCTTCATATGCATACAAACATAGATCTGCTGATAGCGGAGTGCAGTTGGAACCCAAGACCCAATAGATTGTAAGAAGACCTGGTCTCCAAAAAAAAAAAAACATGTAGATATTCGCAATGAAAAACTCGAGCATCTTTTGATGTAAATTTTATACTACTTTTGTGTATAATAAACATGTTTTTTAACAAAATAATTTTACTTAACACCAGTTACAAAATAAGTGAATATACGAGTTCTATTTAGAGAAAAAAAGTCAATGATATGAAGAAGCCCGGACTTTACCATATTGATGGGAATGGTTTAGAATACAACTTTTATCTTTGCAAATTAGCAACAAAGCAATATTTAAACTTGTGTAGTGGAGCATTCAAGAAATAGATTTTTTTTTCCTTTTTGTCTTCTCCTCTGCCTCTCTTCCCTATATCAATCGAATTTGCAAATTAATGTCGGTTTGCTTTGTCAAGATTTAAATCATGCTACATATTACGACATCGTTTCGACATTTTTCCTTTGCACAACTGAATATTGTAGACATAGTATAAGTTAAGGCGTTTTGCACATTTCCAGACTAGTAAAATTCTAAACAATACGTGTGTAACTTGTTCTTATAATTACACAATGTACATCACCAACACTGTTGTAAGATATAAATAACATAAACACAGACAAAACTAAATTTCAGTTCAGACAATTTCAAAATGATATTTTTTCTTTAAAAATGTGAATAATAAGAAAAAATATTCAAGAAAACACAGCTGTGCCAGTAGAACCAAGAGGAAGCATGAGCTAATTTGTAGGTTGTTGGCCCATCACTCCAAGTTCCTGATAATCCGAGTTTGAGGAATGTATTATTGTATCATATTTCCCCTCTGTAGTCTTCATACTGTTTGCCTGACCTTTTCTGTACTTATCCATAGTTTTTAACTGTTTTACTTTGCCTCTAGAAATGATTAGAAATACATTTTCCGACTAGTTAATGAAAAAGGCTACAGTTATCACAATTTGATGAATAATAACTAATTTTCAGTGTTTCTAAACAACATTCCAAATTCGTACTTCAAAGTACCTTATGTGGATGACATATACTAACATAAGAACGTTAGCAATTACACTGATGCTGAGAGTGCCTCCGATGATGTAAAGTCGTATATTGTTTTCATCTTTCTCCTTTACTGTTGATAAGAAAAAAATGCAGATTACGAGTATAATTTCTTTGTTGTTTTTTTTTTTTCAGTCTTTAAAAGTAATTCACGTTTTTCTTAATATCATCAAAATGCTGTGTGGAAGATTTTTTTTAAAAAATCATATTGACAACAGAATCTTGTATAAGCAGACACTCTTCCTAGAGAAAAAGCCCGTTAATAAATTTCAAATTTCGGGTCTTGCAAATGAACTAAATAAACCGAGGACGAGTGTCACAGTTGGCTTGGCATGATTAAAAATGTCTTTCTGCTTAATGTTCATAAGTAAAAGCAGAGTATGAATTTGAAGTCCCTTCCATAAATATTGTGACATTTCATATTAAAATTCCTTCAATGCACGTAAAAAAGGAGAACAAAATCAACTTGAAGGGCAGTTGTTCAAAGAATCAAGAATAGATAGAAGATAGACAAACTGAAAATTAACCAGATTAGGAGACAGAAACAGTAATTAACAATTTTAAACTCACAAATATTTCTATTCCATTAATAAATTTTACCCTCTAAGCAATCCAGTCCAATCCAGCCTCTTTTACACCCTTGTTTGCAGGCTCCGGTCACATGGTCACAAATACCTGACACGGAACAAAAGGCACTGCACTTTTGGTTACAGCCAACTCCATAGGACCCGGGCTGACAGACTATATAAGTAATTACAAAAAGCATACAAAAAGTGATAGTATGGATTCCACAATTAAAAAAATATATCTTTTTTATTATTACTTTGTTAATTCTACGAAAAAAAAATTAAGTAAATATTTATAGAAACCAAGCTTCACTATGATTAATATGAATGCATTTATCAAATGATTCTCGACATGGACGTTCAAGAACAAACTTTCAAATTGGTTTTATAACAGATCAGCGTGTTTGTCTTCAACATAAACACACTTGCTGGTTTATTGTTATTATTAGACACTAAATCGAATGTTAATATTTAAGACTGAGCTTAACGTAGGGATAATTAATTTTCCTTTTTCTTTTCCTATACTCTAGAAATACATTCCTTATGTGTATTAATATGTATATTGAATATAAGGGCATTAGAATCAGTATAAATATGTTTTTAATCTAAAACAAAAAATGAACATATATTAAAAGTACCATCAGTGCACGTATCACCAGTGTACCCTGCGTCACATCCAGAGGGGCACGTTCCATTTATATGATGACACTGAGCTCTATCCAGACAATGTCCACACTGTCTACTACAACCCGCCCCGAACATATTGGAATTGCATTCTAAAAATAGTTCTATATATCAATAAATATTCTCTCTCTCTCAGTTTTAAGACGTATGCTTTCTTTTTACATTAGAGTAACGTTAACTGGAAATTCTTATGTTTACCATATAGAAGAAAAACTTTATCAATACCGTATAAGTAGAATATCTAGCGAGGATTTAATTTTGGCATCATTACATATAGCGAGGGTGCTGACATCGCTAAAATTTAACATCGCTTTAAATCAATTGCGTATTTTTTTGTAAAAAGCTTCCATATAGTCCAGTCAATGTAGCTCAAGAACACTCAAACCTCAAACAAATTGCAACAGAAATTATTCCAGTGCAATTTTGTTATCTATAATGTGCCTTTTGATGTATCAAAACTCTAGAAAAATATATTTGTCCAACATCTTTTTTTCGATTATCCAAAAAAAAAAAATAAAAATAAAAATAGTTTTGCCAGGGATATGATCTTGAAAATTGTTGACAGTCATGAAGAAATGCGTCTGCAAACTAAAACCGGTGATTATTTTATAAGTTGCTATGGATTCCTGTCCCCATGTCAACTTAGATAATAGAAAAATAAAACCTTTCCAATTCCTTCGTACGGCTTTGTGCAGGAACAAAAATATGTAGCTATAGTAGGAATGAATTAGCATAGTATTAATTTATTAGTGAGGTCCTAAGATAATTTTTAAAAAGTTATAGGGGATAATGTAAGCACATACATCCATTTTTCTTTCAAGGGAGGGGGGGGCATAAAATCTCATAATTTTTTGACAAGCAAAAAAAAAAAAATAAATAAATAAATAAATAAACTCATAAGTAGTAAGAATTTAAAATAAATGAAAAATAAAAATGAATTTATTACAAAGGATATGCGATTTTATGGATATACCGGTATATTTATTCAACCTTTCCTAATAAGAATTAAGGAAAGCCTAAAGAAAAGGTGAAAAAACGGCACCTTACCATCCAAACATGACCAGATAAAAATTTCAAAGAAGTGAAAATTTGTTTTCATTTTTAAGAAAGGTAATGTCATCTGAATTCATTGCAAAAATTGCTTGTAAAAATATCATGATATTTTCGTGATATTTTGGGGGAAAATCGTGATATATCGTGCCTCATCCCTATATAAAATACCCTCAAACTTCAAAACATCTTTCAGGTGATGGGGTGGTCTATTTTTATAAGGTATATGACTTCTTTACGTTTCAATGAGTCCTTGAGAGTGGGTTCATTGACATTACATTACTGAAGAACCTTTCAACTCTAAAAAATTTAGAGGGAGGGGGCCTTCCCCGACATATCTACCTTTATAGCAATGCATATGCTTGGGACATTCATTCGAAATATATTATATCTATAGTTAAGTAAAACCTGAACAAAGTTTTAAAGGTCAGATCCCCTATTGCTTTTCTTTGAAACGTTAAAGATATAAGAAAAAAAAACATGAAATCCAGTGAAGATGCCATGAAATCCATAAAAATGCATTAATGATTATCTTGAAACTGGAACTGGTTCCTCTCTTAAATGTTTACCTCAATATAGTATCCGAATTGCTTCTCACTGTATTCAATATAATGCCCATTGCTAGTTTTTATATTTTTTCGGATTTATTTTGTAACTGTGTGTGTGGTGGGGAGATATTACATTATTAATTAAGCTCTTGGCACTTTGAAGTAAATGTTGCAAGTTTTCGGGATGAGAGCGTTTCATGTTACATGTGGTCGTCCCCATGCTCAATGGCCCTAAGCACGGAGTAAAAGTCTAAATTTGAAGCCCTTCAGTATATGGTGAAGTCATTATTTAAGTAAAAAGTTCTCAAGAGGGGCGTAAAACATCACACAATCAAGCAATCTGGGTCCTTTGGATGAGACCTATAAACGTGGTCCAAGTAATGGACACAATTTGCAGCTCTCCACTTGCAAGTGCATGGTGGCGTCTCCACAGTAGTGAAAAATTCTCATGAGGGATGTTAAACAACAATCTAGCGCTATTCATCTATGGCATTGAGTCTTTCTTATGACAATTAAAATTTTCAATGCAGTTTTAAATGATAAATTCTACTTATTGTGGTAGGAAAATAAATTGTATTTTCAAAGCTTCCTATCTATGCATATGTATTTAAATAATTTTTTATTTAAGTAAAAAATTTTTGAGAGGGGCGTAAAACAACATACTCTCAATCTATCTGGGCCCTTTGGATGAGACCTATAAACAGAGGTCCCACGAAAGAGATTCCTCAGTCTGCTGTAATTTGGATAAGTCAAAAATATTGCGTAGTTTTTAAAAAGCTGAAATGCAAGAATCTATTACATAATAGGATATGTTTTAAAAAAAATATATGAAAATCTTACTTTGCAGCCTATTTCAAAGACTTCCCATAAAATTAGATCCCTTGTGTTACCCTACATGTCAGGAAAAAGGCCATCTTTAAAATAATGCTTGTTTATGCAAATAAACAATTTAATAAACAGATAATGCTTCTCCAGAATCAGGGTAAAATTATTTGTAAAATCCTTTTTCCAGAAAATTTCAACATATTTATTGATGATGAGAGGTATAAAAAAAAGTTTTATGTCCTGAAATGTAAAAAAGAAAAAAAGGGATTTTGAGACGGGCCATTATAGTCAGTCGGTCGGGAGAGAGCAACCAAACATTTTTAAGATGTTCTAATCTATATCAAAAGTATTTTTACTAGTAAAGTAGATCTCTCTAATAGAATCAATATTCTAAAGAAGTAAAAAAAAATCTTTAAACAAAGTCAAACAACAAAAGTTTAACTTTTAGATAATAAAATATTTTTATGTTGCAATAAAACCACTAACGACTCCCCATAAATTATTTTCCCCAATGTTTCAAACACGTTAACACCACATTTAGACATGTATAAAACTCTCAAATCTTATATCTTCAATAAATAGGTGAATTATAAATCCTGGAATGTTTACAAATTGAATTATTAATTTGATTATGCTTGTTTAAAATGAAAAGAGGTTTGTTTACAGTGGTTAAAATTGTCTCCCTTGTTACATATGGTAGCAAATTTCTGCAATACATATTTTTTCAAACTAATAAATATTTATTTCTAAAAAAGACATCTTTTAACTTTATATATTTTTCTAGAGTTTTTATATGTTAATTAGAATACAATTTACTAATTATAAATAAAGAAAAAAAATTCTGTTGCAATTTGTTTGAGGTTTATGACAGTTTGACTGGACTATTAGTAAGGGTTTTGAAATCGGTATAATTACCTCACGCTAAAAACTAATTTCCAGATTTTATGTAGAAATCGCTAAATTTGCATTTCGCTAAAATTTCCACTCATGTGGTAAAATGGCGTGTCCAACAAGTTATGATCAAAGTCAGATCCTTTTTGCTGATTTATTGTACCTGATTCGCATTTAAGCCCTTTCCATCCGCTTTCACAACCATCCTGACAAGAACCGGATCTACGGTCACATTTATGAAAAAACCGACAATTCTGGGAACAAATCTTTACACAGTTTCTTCCGTATTGTCCAGCTGGGCACTCTTATTAAACAAAATCGAGTTTGAAATGTAGATGTAAGATTTAATGGTTTGTTAATTTGTTAATAGATCAAATATCACTTGAATACATGTCACCTATATACATTTAGCATATATTATGTTAATGAAAAATAAATTATTTGTCATTTACTAAGATACAATGCTTTCCCGTTTGAAGTCACTATTTCGTAAGTTCTATGGTCGATAAAATGACATTGTAAGCACATACAATTGATTATTGAGTTATATTTTGACTAACATTTTTACACATTTATTTTTCGTCTATCATTTATACATCGAACTGACGAAGGATTTTTCCATTATTTCCCGATCTTGAAAAGGAGCAGATGGCGGATGTGACCGATCGGCAGGGGATGTTCAATCCTCATTGGCTCCTCATCCCACCTCTGATGTTTTGGAGGTCGATGTTTGCTCCTATTTTTTATTGTTTATGGATTTTTGATCTTGAATACTGTTCGATATCTCCATATATTTCATTCATATCTTAGAAAAATTCGAAGACCTTTCCACTTAGTAAATGTAGAGCTACAATGTATGTTTACTCCACTTACACCTTAATTGTTAGACAGGGAGAATTTCTTTAAGCCACAAAGAATACTCACGACTGGCATATTTTTCTCCAAAAACACCAAGATCACATCCATTCAAACAAGAAACGGTTATATGGTGACATTGTTCAAAGTTCAAACAGTCTCCACATTTACTAGAGCAGTTTATCCCGTAATATTCCCCACTGCATTCTAAAGAAATAAGAATACCCAAAAAATGCAAAACATTAGTCTTCTGTCAATTCTGTTTCAGATTTTGACCCTAATGCAAGTCATGTAAATTTATTAATTTTTATTGCAAACTATTTGATAAAAAATTTAAATGAACGAACATCAGTAAATATGCATGTATATATTTCAGAAATGTTATCATTTACATCATCGCCAAAGTTGCAGTAACAGCAAAATATGTACGAAAGATAACCTTTATTGCATTTAAGACCATTCCATCCCGCAGAGCATGGCCCGATGCACATTCCCGTAAATCGGTTGCATGAATCACAATGACACACTCCTTTGCAATCCTCTCCATAGTTTCTCCTCAGACATGCTGGAATTCAAAATTGAATTTAAGACAAACAATTATTCCCCAAAATAAATCCATAAGAAAAAATATCATAAGAGATAAAGATATTTAATTCTTTGATACCATTACTAAATACAAATCTCAAAAACATACTTTACGTTCATCAATATTACCATTTCTATTTTCTCAGATATGTCCCTCCAGTCTTTAGAACTACTATACAATACTATTCAAATAACCATTTTTTTCTTCCATATTATCATGATTATTCAGTGAAAACATCCCCTTTTGTTTCATTTTTTATTTAAATCCTATAAACCAAATCTACTGAAAAGGGAAGAAAAGACAATATTTTATTCTTATCATATAAAAACAAACAATATAGTGAGAAAATAAAACATAACTATAAAGCGTATACTATTCACAGCCATTAAGTGAACGTCTTTTACATTCACCTTGTTTGTTTACAATTATATAACGCGCCTCCCTCGATAGACAGCCATAAGTCGTTACAATTGGTGTCAAAAGAGGGATATAGTCTTCCTATTATTCTGATTGATCGAAAGTCTATATCAGGATCTTTAGATATTGATTTGTTAAGTCTATTGACAACAATTTTGGGGAATATCTAGCTCAATTTGAAATCTTGGTTGATTTACATGGTTAGAATTTCAGGGCAAAGTCACTATACCAAGCTAGCAGTTTAGCAGGAGGGTCTCGCGCACTTATAAGTTAACTTAACGAAGTTTAGCGCAAAGATTTTGATTCCCTAGTCAAGATTCTTGATGGTTATGGTTCAGTTGAACGATCTGAAATGTTCAGAGCTAAGTAAAAGACAAAAACCAAGGGGGGCAAAGAATCTGACTCTGAACTTGCTCAATCTATCAAGAAACTTACTAGGCAAGCATACCCTACGGACGATTCAAACCTGACAAATGTCCTATCATTAGATCACTTCATAGACGCACTTCCAGATCCGGATATGCGCCTTCGCTTGAGAGAAAGTAGACCCAGAGACATTAATGAGGCTTAGATATCGGCTATAAGATTTGGTACCCACAAACTGGCTGATGCACAGAGGGTAAAGCTTGTCAATGCCATACATCCAGATATGGATATCAATCTCCTCGCCTCGATCAAACAAAAAAATAGGGTCTTGAGAGATGATCTCCAATCACTTACAAAAGAGAATAGATCACTCCTAAAAGACAGTCTTAATGCAAGACCCAACTTTTTTTCATTCAAGCAAGTTGCATTCGCTTTCAGTCCTCAAATCAAGGAAACTTTCCCGTGTCGAATTCAGGGTGCAGAAGTCGACAAAGCACAGGGGTAGGCCCACATCATTATTAAGTAAAATTGAAACAAGAGGACCTCTTCCTGCTGGAAGAAATGACTGTATTAAAAAGAGTTCTCAAAAGGCAATTAATGTAACTGAAAATGGCAATTTAATGAACAATAAATCAAAAAATGATGTTGAGAAGATTGCTAAGTTTGAAAATCCACCCAAAAATGAGAGAGTAGAGGATGTACAGGGGTGTGGTGAAGGAAGTTTTATAGCTGGAAAAATTGAGAACACTCCAACTACAATGATGGTCGACACAGGATCTAGTGTAACAATTATTAGCTCAGGTTTTGAAGACAGTTAAGAGTTTAAGGGGAAATTATATTTGAACCCTTCATTTGTACATTTGACATTTGCTAGTGGGGAGAAAATATCTGTCCTAAGGGAATGCCTAGTGAAAATATCAGTGGGAGATGTCACTGTTAATCAAAATTTGTTAGTGGCTAATATCAGAATCAAATGTATTTTGGGTTTAGATTTCATGAAAAATCACAACTGTGATGTTCTGTTGAACAGAATGAAACTTAGAATAAAGGGGATAGAAGTTTTTTGCTTTACACATGAGGCTTTGAATAAGCTATGTGTTAAGGTATTTATGACAGAAACTATAGAGATTCCCCTTCTTAGTGAATTCATTGCCCCGGCTAAAGTAGAAAACCCATTATTAAATGACAAGATTACTTTGTTAGAGCCTGTTGCAATTCTTTTTTACATAACCGTGGTGTATTAGTTCCCAAGATTTTGGCAAAAGTTGAAACCTATAAACTACCTGTTCGATACATGAAGTTAGGTGATCAAAGTGTCAAAATTTTCAAAGGGACGGTTGTGGAAAACTTAGAAGATACTTCAGGGATGATTGGAAGAACTGCCTAATCAATAAATGTTTTGTCAAAAGAATGAACATTATCCTGAACATTTGAAGTCTGTGTTTGAGAATTCATGCAAAAACATTGATCACGAACAAAGGCAAAAATTAAGAGAATTACAAATAGAATTTCAAAGTAGTTTCTCAATAAACTCCTCTGACAGGGGGTTGACAAACTTAGTAAAACACAAGATTAATACTGAAGATGCATCCCCGTTTAAACAACTTCCTCGGTGCATTCCTCTAGCCAGAATGCAAGAAACTCAAAATGAAATTAAAGATATGTTAGATAAAGGGGTCACTGAAACATCCAACAGCCCTATAGTTTTAATCAAAAAGAAAGATGGATCAATCAGATTTTGCATTGATTATATAGAAAATTAAATGACATCACGATCAAAGACAGTGACCCAATCCCTAGATTTGATTTTACACTAGATGCATTATCAGAGTCTAGATGGTTTTCGACAATAGATTTAAAGAGAGCAGATACTGGCAATTCGATATGACTCCAGAAGATATTAGGTCCGGAAATATCCCCAAAACAGCATTTTCAATACCCGATGGTGGAAACTGGCAATTTCTGTTCCGAAAAATATATGTATGCATATAAGTATGAAAGCCCTATCCTCTACCGTTCAAAAGTTATGGCAAAGTTTAAAGTTTGTTCACAAGTACGGAATTCCACAATGCTATAGTTAACTATAATCTACAATGTCAATTTAAATCTAAAATAAATGTTTAACTTGCTGATTTTTTACTCCTGAAATGCCAAATATTTTATTTTGTACACGTCTTTCTATGCGTCATATCCTCAGACTAATGCCGAATATATATTTTATATGGATTGGGTGCCTTTTCAAACTAAATATATGTACTTCAAATCAATATATTTCTTGTTCCTTCCGTAGATTGTTCATATCTTGTTGCAAAAAGGACGGAAAATACGAAATAAGAATAGTCATGTATATTTTCTAGCATGATTTTCCTTGCTGTAACTAGTGCATTTCGACAATGGTATTTCTTGTTCAACTTTCCAGACTAAACAGTTCACCAGTGTTTTTATCATGTCTCATGCATATAACCCTTTCCTCCACTGTAAGGGAATCTTTTTTTTCAAATTTTCAGGATGTGCTTTCAGTAAAGACGTACCGTTCACGGTAGCTCAGTAGGTAGAGCGCTCGCTCCATGATCGGGAGGTCGTGAGTTCGTATCTCGGTCGCGACCTACCTTGTCGATAAAATGGGTAGCAACTGTTCCTTCGCCATGCGCTCGGCACTTTGAATTGAAAGTTTCTGTTCCTTCGAATGAGACCTTAATAACCGAGGCCCCGTGTCAGCGGCAGGCGTTGGCACGATAAAGATCCCTCACTGCTCAATGGCTCTGAGTGCCGAGTAAAGGTCAAAATTTGAAGCCCCTCAGCGGCATACGGTGACGTCTCCATATGAGTGAAAAATTCTCGAGAGGGACGTTAAACAATATACAATCAATCAATCAATAAAGACATAGTTATATATTGAATCTTTTCAAGGGAAATCGTCAGGATAAAAATCCCTCTGTAAAATAAACTCAGAGGTGATGGTGAAGGAAGTTTTATAGCTGGAAAAATTGAGAACACTCCAACTACAATGATGGTCGACACAGGATCTAGTGTAACAATTATTAGCTCAGGTTTTGAAGACAGTTAAGAGTTTAAGGGGAAATTATATTTGAACCCTTCATTTGTACATTTGACATTTGCTAGTGGGGAGAAAATATCTGTCCTAAGGGAATGCCTAGTGAAAATATCAGTGGGAGATGTCACTGTTAATCAAAATTTGTTAGTGGCTAATATCAGAATCAAATGTATTTTGGGTTTAGATTTCATGAAAAATCACAACTGTGATGTTCTGTTGAACAGAATGAAACTTAGAATAAAGGGGATAGAAGTTTTTTGCTTTACACATGAGGCTTTGAATAAGCTATGTGTTAAGGTATTTATGACAGAAACTATAGAGATTCCCCTTCTTAGTGAATTCATTGCCCCGGCTAAAGTAGAAAACCCATTATTAAATGACAAGATTACTTTGTTAGAGCCTGTTGCAATTCTTTTTTACATAACCGTGGTGTATTAGTTCCCAAGATTTTGGCAAAAGTTGAAACCTATAAACTACCTGTTCGATACATGAAGTTAGGTGATCAAAGTGTCAAAATTTTCAAAGGGACGGTTGTGGAAAACTTAGAAGATACTTCAGGGATGATTGGAAGAACTGCCTAATCAATAAATGTTTTGTCAAAAGAATGAACATTATCCTGAACATTTGAAGTCTGTGTTTGAGAATTCATGCAAAAACATTGATCACGAACAAAGGCAAAAATTAAGAGAATTACAAATAGAATTTCAAAGTAGTTTCTCAATAAACTCCTCTGACAGGGGGTTGACAAACTTAGTAAAACACAAGATTAATACTGAAGATGCATCCCCGTTTAAACAACTTCCTCGGTGCATTCCTCTAGCCAGAATGCAAGAAACTCAAAATGAAATTAAAGATATGTTAGATAAAGGGGTCACTGAAACATCCAACAGCCCTATAGTTTTAATCAAAAAGAAAGATGGATCAATCAGATTTTGCATTGATTATATAGAAAATTAAATGACATCACGATCAAAGACAGTGACCCAATCCCTAGATTTGATTTTACACTAGATGCATTATCAGAGTCTAGATGGTTTTCGACAATAGATTTAAAGAGAGCAGATACTGGCAATTCGATATGACTCCAGAAGATATTAGGTCCGGAAATATCCCCAAAACAGCATTTTCAATACCC